ACGGGGTTTCACCGTGTTGACCAGGATGGTCTCGATCTCTTGACCTCGTGATCCACCCGCCTCGGCCTCCCAAAGTGCTGGGATTACAGGCGTGAGCCACCGCGCCCGGCCCGACATTTTTGTTTTCTACAGTTTATCTGAGAGACAATAGTGTCTGCTGGGATTCCTGTTTACAAAGTATTTTATTTTATTTATTTATTTTTGAGACGGAGTTTCACTCTTGCTACCCAGGCTGGAGTACAATGGCATGATCTTGGCTCACTGCGACCTCCGCCTCCCGGGCTCAAGTGACCCTCCTGCCTCAGCCTCCTGAGTAGCTGGGACTACAGGTGCATACCACCATGCCCAGCTAATTTTTGTATTTTTAGTAGAGACGGGGTTTCACCATGTTGACATGGATGGTCTTGATCTCTTGACCTCATGATCCACCCGCCTCGGCTTCCCAAAGTGCTGGGATTATAGGCGTGAGCCACCGCGCCTGGCCTACAAAGTATTTTAATTTAAATAATTATATTGCATTTTCACAACCCGATGAAGTATAGGACATTCAGAGGTAAGGTGAGAAAACTGAAGGACAGAAAGCTTAACTCATATTTTTGTTCAAGTTCGGACTATTTTTAACTGGCAGAATCAGGATCTGAACTTGCATCTTCTCATTCCAAGTTCAACACATGGTGACTGCCATCTAAGAGGTGAAACATAGGAACTTCCAGAACATTCACTGGTTGAAATGTCTGGTTGATAAAATTTGGAATAACTGGGACATGACTTTTTATTAGGATGCAGGATGGCGTTTTCACCAACTCCTCATCCTTGCTGGAAGGAAATAGGCAACAGGTGTCCTGGGTTCACCTAGAGCCCAGGGGATAATTGTTTCAATACAACTGCTTCCAAATTGGTGACAAAAATTAGTTTAATTATTTTAGAAAACCAAATGTAACCCAGTTTTAACATCTTAGGATGTTTAAATGTTGCTTGTGTGGACACATAGGTGCAGAAGGCCACGTGCAGGACCCAGCCTGCTTCTAGCTTTGTGGCTGGGAGCAAGCCACCTTGCACTCTTATCCCATTTCCTGCTCTATAAAACAGAGGGTGAAAAATAACACCTGATTTTTTTTTTTTTTTTTTTTTTTTTTTGGTGAGGATCTGGTGGGATGGTCATGTGCCTTGAGGGAATGTTCCCGGACAAACATAGGCACAAAACTACCAGCAAGAGGCTCAGTTTGAGGAGTTAGTGAGTGTACTATTCTAGGAACTGACGGTCTTTCTGCATGAGAGGGAAGAGCTTGGTGGTGTGGTGGCTTTCAGGGGCCAGAGCTCAGGTTTTAACTGATGATGCTGATGTTGTTTTAACGTGGTGTCCTGCTAAAAGATGACCCTCGCCTCTTTCTTCTCTTTTCTCCATAGATGATCTTAGTAGCCATATTTTCAGAAACGGGATTTTTCGATTATTGTGCTGTAAAGGTAGGTGTGATGTTGCATTCAATAATTCTACACTGATTAATTTATATATGTA